AAGAGATGGGAATACCAGACCACCTTACCTGCCTCTTGAGAAACCTGTATGTAGGCCAAGAAGCAACAGTTAGTACTAGAAATGGAACAACAGATTGGTTCAAAATTGGGAAAGGAGTAGGTCAAGGCTAAATATTGTCATCCTGCTTATTTAATTTATATGCAGAGTATAACAGGAGAGATGCTGGGCTGGATGAAGCACAAGCTGGAATCAAGTTGCAGGGAGAAACATCAATAACCTCAGATATGTAGATGACACCACCCTTATGGTAGAAAGGAAGAGGAACTGCAGAGTCTATTGATGAAAGTGAAAGAGGAGAGTGAAAAGGGTGGCTTAAAACTCAACATTATAAAAACTAAGATCATGGCATCTGGTCCTATCACTTAATGGCAAATAGATGGGGAAACAATGAAAACAGTGACAGACTTTATTTTCTTGGGCTCCAAAATCACTGCAGATGGTGACTGCAACCATGAAATTAAAAGACACTTGCTCCTTGAAAGAAAAGCCATGACAAACTTAGACAGCATATTAAAAAGACATTACTTTGCCAACAAAGGTCCATTTAATCAAAGCTATGGTTTTTCCAGTAGTCACATATGGATGTGAGAGTTGGACCCTGAAGAAGGCTGAGCACCAAAGAATTGATGCTTTTGAACTGTGGTGTTGGAGAAGACTCTTGAGAGTCTCTTGGACTTCAAGGAGGTCAAATCAGTCAATCCTAAAGGAAACCAATCCTGAATAGTCATTGCAGGAACTGATGCTGAAGCTGAAGCTCCACTACTTTGGCCTCCTGATGTGAAAGGACCCATTGGAATGGACCCTGATGCTGGGAAAAATTGAAGACAGGAGGAGAAGGGGAACAAAGGATGAGATGGTTGGATGGCATCACTGACTCAATGGACATGAGTTTGAGCAAGCCCTGGGGAGATGATAGACAGAGAAGCCTAGCGTTTTGCTGTCCATGGGGTCACAAAGAGTCGGACATGACTGAGCAACAGAACAACAGTAATTAAAACAACCATACTACAATAAAAGAATGAAAAAAAAATTTCTGCTTGTTTTATTTAATGTTATTAACAGTGGCTTTTTCATTCACAATTCTCATTCAACAATTATCATCTTCTTCTTCACCCTCTTTCAGTCTCTCAAAAAAATATATTTTGCTTTCACTTGTAATTCAATGTTAGAATATACGATTCTTATCAAATTCTTCTCTAGAAGAAGTTTCCCAGCACACAGCCCAAGCACACAGTACCAGTTAGCAAAGACCACCTTCAGAGTTTGACTCCATTTACTTTAACAACCACCTTTAAGCAAAAAGCTAAAAGAAATATTTGAAAAAATGTTTTAATTACCTCAAATTCATGGTGTTATCATGATAAAGTGCCTAAATAACATTGCTGTTAAGATTCCCTAACTTTAGAAGAATTCAAGAGTTCTCAAATCAGTTATAAATATTACTTAGTATAAAGGAGGTAAAATGTGTGAATCACTCAGTTGTGTCCGACTCCTCGGGACCCCATGGATTGTAGCCTGCCAGGTTCCTCTGTCCATGGGATTCTCCAGGCAAGAATTCTGGAGTGAGTTGCCATTCCCTTCTCCAGGGGATCTTCCTGACCCTGGGATTGAACCCAAGTCTCCTGCATTGCAGGCAGATTCTTTACCATCTGAGCCATCAGGGAAGATATAAAAGAGGCAAGATATCCACATTTTGAAAATATGAAAGCAAAGGAATGAAAATGATATGCACAATCATAGTGAGAAGGTTGCAAATGAAGCCCACATCTTTCTATTTTCTATGAGGATATTCTTTTAAAACAGTTCAAAGCTAGTACTATTCTATGCAGTATACTTTGACCTCCAACTGCAGTAGCATTATTAACCTCCTCACAAGTTCCAAAAGAACTATATCTCCACCAATTTGGTGAAAAAATAATAATGCCACTTGTCTTTTATTTCTTATTCCAATCACATACTCACATTTCTCTCATTAAGGGATGTCTTTATAACCCTTTGCTATGATTAGTTCAAGAATTCCAGTTCAGTCATTTCAAGAGTTCAATTTTGATTATGAAGAGGTAGCCAGAATGTATTTGTATGCTTCAGAGGTCCTTTTTTCCTGCTGATACTGCTGCTTTCCACACCCTAAATCAGAGGTCCTCGACCTTTAGGATCTAGTGCCTGGTGATCTGAGGTGAAGGTGATGTAATAATAAAAGAAATAAAGTACACAAGAAATGTAATGCAGTTAAATCATCTACCCCACCTCCATCCATAGAAAAACTGTCTTCCACAAAACTGGTCCCTGGTGCCAAGAAGGTGGAGGACCACTCTCCTACAGTATCCCTGTGAAACTGTGGGGCTTCAGACTTCAGGCAAGAAGCCTGCTGCTACCAAGTATCTCCACTCTTCTTGACAGTTTGGTTTTGCTGATTGTGGCTTCAAGGAGACAGTGAGAAATAATCCTCTCTTTAAGAAGCAAGCCTCATTCTCTCGCAATTGGTCAACTTTACACAATATCTCACCCAATGTCAATGAAACTTAAAGAAAAAATAAGCTATCAGAAGTTTTGTTTGTCTCTAGTTTTGCTTCCGTATAGCCAGGAGCAGCACACTGCCACCTATGAAATACCTTCTTAAAATGATCTTTCAACAACTGGCCAAGAAAGAGCAGGTTGTCCCTTTTTTCAGTTTATAAACCTACTTCTATGCCCCTGTATTAATCATACTTCAAGATTATTAAACAAAGACTATTCCTTTTATTTTTATTGCAAAAGAGACTGTAACTTGTAATATTAAATGTGTGTGTGTGTGTGCGTGTGTTCAGTCACTAAGTTATGTCTGATTCTTTGCGACCCCATGGACTGTAGCCCACCAGGCTCCTCTGTCCAAGGGATTTCCCAGGCAAGAATACTGGAGTGGGTTGCCATTTCCTTCTCCAGGGGATCTTCCTGACCCAGGGACTGAACTCACATCTCCTGCATTGGCAAGTAAATTCTTGACCACTCAGCCACCTGAGAAGCCCTGACATGCTAATTATCCATTCTATAATAATAACACATGACTGAGCCAAATTGAGACACAGAAAATATTCCAAGTTGAAAAAATGAAGTCCTGTTTTTACATCTTCTTGATGACACACGGAAAAAAATGATAAAGATGTTTTTATATATAAGTATTACTATTTGCTGAAAATATTGCACTCATGAGTTTTTCTCTTGGAATTCAAAGCATTTTACAGTGGAAAAGTCTCTGGGTGAAAAGGCAAGAGTCATGGACAGTACTCTCTGTTTTTCTACTGATTAACTGTGTCATCTTAACCTTAACATCAGGAAATCATGAGGTTTCCTGAACTTCATCTCTAAAATTAAGGCATTAAAATTTATGTAAACCTAAAATTCTCCAATTGCCTAGTTTCCATGTAAGAGAACAAAAGTTTAGCAAATATTCAGATCAAGAAATCCTTGTCTATCATTCTTTAAAAAAAAATACTTGCACACATAGTTAGCATTTCATTTCCATAAATATGCACTGGGCACCTGCGTTCAAGGCATTGTCAAGTCTAAGCATTGTTGAAGACGTAAAAGGAAAAATCTTCAAATTTTGGTGCAGCAATGGAAATTAGAAACTTGTATGCTGATTTCTGAATTTATGATGTGGAATTTAAGGCCACAAGCAAACCATGCCACAAGAACCTGTTATTTTGACCTTTATTCTTGTGACCTTTTTAGTAACACACATCTTTGAATAAAGCATCCTCTATCCCTCACCTCTGAAAATCTATACCACCTATGAGAGAGTAGAGTGAGTTGGTATGACATGTACAGCTAATATGGCACATGTAAAAAATTTTTAAATACATATATTTTATTGAAATATAGTTGACTTACAATGTTTCAGGTGCATGGCAAGGTGATTCAGTTATACAAATACGACATGTACAAAAATTTCTTTAGTTAAAAACACATTTTGCAAGATTCCCCATTCATTAGATTTATGTCAGCCTTTATGCAAAGCACTATTTTAGTGACTGTGAGAGACCAAAAATGAGTCAGTTTTGGTTGTTCACCTCCAGGAAGTCAATCTAAGAATATAAAAAGCCATGAAGATAAGTAACTCTAAGTAAGGGCTAATGTGATTGTTATAGGAATAGAAAATAAGTTCAAGGAACTGAGATGCTTGCCTGATGTGAAGCTAGTTGGACTCTGTTTGAAAAAGGAGAAAGATTGACAGAAATAGATATGAGGGTAAAGAAGTATGTTACATTAAAATAAAATTAATGTAGGAGAGTGCAGAGAAAGAAGATGGGAAAGGAGAAGAGCAGAGTGTCCCCATTGTTCAGGAGAGCTATCTTAATATAAAGGGCATACAGCAGACAATTTCTGGACATATCTGTCTTCAATGGTAAATGAAGTGTGGATTTCAGACGCATGAGTTATGATGAGGGATGCAAGTCATTACGCTGTTACCAAATGTATGTGTAGACAATGAATGTCAGAAATGAGGACCTTAAAAAAAGTAATTGCAGGGATTCCCTGGCGGCTCAGTAGTAAAAAAGAAAAAAAAAAAATCCAACTGCCAATTCAGGAGACATGGGTTCAATCCTTGATCTAGGAAGATCTCACATCCTGCAGGGCAACTAAGCCCGAGAGCCCCACCTATTGAGCTTCTGCTCTAGAGCCCGGAAGCCTCAATTACTCAACCCACATGCTGCAATCACTGAAGCCCATGTGCCCTAGAGGGAAGCCACTGCAGTGAGAAAACCAGGCACCACAGCAAGAGAGTGGCCCCCGCTCTCCACAGCTCGAGAAAAGCTAGCACAGCAAGGAAGACCCAGCACAGCCGTAAATAAATAAGTAAAATTACAGAGAGTAAGTGCAATGAGAAGATCCAACAATCTCCATTCAGAAAAATAAATTATAGAACGTACTGAGTACTTTGATTACCAAAAAAGAACTCATAACTCTTTTCAGTGGATACCATTCTCTGCATTTTACAGATGAGAAAATAAGTCCAGAGAGCTTAAATGACTTTGCCAAAGAACAGAGAGTTTATAAACGATGATACCAAGATTAAAGTTCAGATTAATCTGATTCCAGAGTCAATGTTCTTTCCATTTTACTGCCCTCTCTCTGAATACATTTATAAATCAACACAATGAATAAATGGCTAATATAACAAATGTAGAAGAAAGGCAACAGACAAGAAGCAGACACCCACACACACATATACACACAATATCCTTATAATTATAGCTATCCCGTGGCTCAACATTCAGAAAATTAAGATCATGGCATCCAGTCCCATCACTCCACGGCAAATAGATGGGGAAACAGTGGAAACAGTGGCTGACTTCATTTTTCTGGGCTCCAAAATCACTGCAGATGGTGATTGCAGCCAGGAAATTAAAAGACGCTTACTCCTTGGAAGGAAAGTTAAGAACAACCTAGATAGCATATTGAAAAGCAGAGATGTTACTTTGTCAACAAAGGTCTGTCTAGTCAAGGCTATGGTTTTTCCAGTGGTCATGTATGGATGTGAAAGTTGGACTATAAAGAAAGCTGAGCACTGAAGAATTGATGCTTTTGAACTGTGGTGTTGGAGAAGACTCTCAAGAGCCCCTTGGACTGCAAGGAGATCCAACCAGTCCATCCTAAATGAAATCAGTCCTGGGTGTTCATTGGAAGGACTGATGTTGAAGCTGAAACTCCAATCCTTTGGCCACCTGATGTGAAGAGCTGACTCACTGAAAAAGACCCTGATGCTGGGAAAGATTGAGGGCAGGAGGAGAAGGGGACAACAGAGGATGAGATGGCTGGATCGCATCACCAACTCAATGGACATGAGTTTGAGTAAACTCCGGGAGTTGGTGATGGACAGGGAGGCCTGGCATGCTGCGGTTCATGGGGTCACAGAGTCAGATATGACTGAGCGACTGAACTCAACTGAAGTGGGAAATTAAGGTAGAAAAGAAAAGACAAAACTGCACGAATCAAAAAAGAGTTCTGTGCTCAGTTGTGTCCAACTCTTTGTGACCCCATGAACTGTAGCCCACTAGGCTCCTCTGTCCCTGGAATTTTCCAGGCAAGAATACTGGAGTGGGTTGTCATGTCCTACTCCAGGGGATCTTCTCAACCCAGGATTGAACCTGCATTTCTTGGTTCTCCTGCATTGGAAGTCAGATTATTTACCACTGCTCCACCTGGGAAGCCCCCCAAAAAGAGTTGATTTCTAGGCAAAATTAGTGACGAAATTGGTCTAAGTTCAACCAAATTTTGGGACTTGTTCATATGTGTGTGTTTGTGTGTGTGTATGCTCAGTCATGTCTGACTCTTTGCAACACAATGGACTCTAGACTTCTGGGCTCCTCTGTCCATGAAATTTTCCAGGCAAGAATACTGGAGTGGGTTGCCATTTCATATTCCAGGCTATCTTTCTGACCCAGGGATTGAACCTAAGCCTCTTGCATCTCCTGCATTACAGGTGGATTCTTTACCACTGAATCGCCAGGGAAGTCCAATACATAATGGAACCAAAATTTAAAGGTTAATGCTAAGACACCAAAGATCATCCACCACACAACATGACTCTTAGCCATGACACTAAGACTACCTTCCCGAGAACAGAAAGATACTCTCAGAAATGCAGGAAAACCACAGTCATACCACTCACCCATTGTTTCAGCAGGCTGAAGGGAAAATCTAGGGCTCAATAAGATGAGTTAGTCAAATGGAAGTTTTACATATACATAATTCAATTAATTAGATAAGATGAGTTTAAACGGCTGTTATAAAAATTAAATGCAGGTATTTAAAAATTATCTTTAAAAATAATGAATTTTCCCTTACCAAACTTGGTTTCAAAGCTCTTTAAAAGAATGTGCATGCTACACTGCTTCAATTGCACCCGACTCTTTGCAACCTTAGGGACTGTAGTCCACCCGGCTCCTCTGTCCCTGGGATTCTCCCCATGCCCTTCTCCAGGGGATCTTCCCAACCCAGGGATTGAACTCGAGCCTCTTATGTCCTCCACATTGGTAGGTCAGTTCTTTACCACTAGTGCTACCTAGGAAGTCCCTTAAAAGAATAGGAAATGTTAAAAAGAAACAAGACTATCAGTTTTATTCTATAGGCCACTGAACCAAGATAGGACTACTATCCTATCTTAAACTAAACTGAAAAGTCTAAGTATAATGGGCATGAGGGTGGGAGAATAAAAGGAATATGCCAAAATGTTAACATTTTTAAAAACTATCAGTAAATGAATTTTCTTCTTTTCTCTTTAATTATATTTGTAAAAGTCATTTTCACCTCACAGTTCATTTTAAATTATTTTAAAGTGACACATTATGATTTGATCCGGTCATAAATTTGATGTACATGCATTTTCAGTGCAGTTCATTTCAGTCGCTCAGTTGTGTCTGACTCTTTGCAACCCCATGAACCTCAGCACACCAGGCCTCCCTGTCCATCACCAGCTCCCAGAGTTCACCCAAACCCATGTCCATCGAGTCGGTGATGCCATCCAGCCATCTCATCCTCTATTGTCCCCTTCTCCACCTGCCCTCAGTCTTTCCCAGCATCAGGGTCTTTTCAAATGAGTCACTCTTCATATCAGATGGCCAAAGGATTGGAGTTTCAGCTTCAACATCAGTCCTTCCAATGAACACCCAGGAATGATCTCCTCTAGGATGGACTGGTTGGATCTCCTTGCAGTCCAAGGAACTCTCAAGAGTCTTCTAAAACACCGCAGTTCAAAAGCATCCATTTTCTGGCGCTCAGCTTTCTTCACAGTCCAACTATCACATCCGTACATGACCACTGGAAAAACCATAGCCTTGACTAGACGGAACTTTGATGGCAAAGTAACATCTCTTCTTTTTAATATGCTATCTAGGTTGTTCTTAACTTTCCTTCCAAGGAGTAAGCGTCTTTTAATTTCCTGGCTGCAATCACCATCTGCAGTGATTTTGGAGCCCAGAAAAATGAAGTCAGCCACTGTTTCCACTGTTTCCCCATCTATTTGCCATGAAGAGATGGGACTGGAAGCAGTGATCTTAGTTTTCTGTCTGTTGAGCTTTAAGCCAACTTTTTCACTCTCCTCTTTCACTTTCATCAAGAGGCTCTTTAGTTCCTCTTTGCTTTCTGCCATAAGGGTGGTGTCATCTTCATATCTGAGGTTATTGATATTTCTCCCAGCAATCTTGATTCCAGCTTGTGCTTCCTCCAGCCCAGCATTTCTCATGATGTACTCTGCTACAGGCATTTACTTCAAATCAAAAGGGTTTATCATTAAGAATTAAACTTTACTTGGAAGATAAACCACAAAAATTCCAGAAATTTCAAAATATTCCACATTACAACATATTTTGAATCATTTTAGGGAAAATAAAATATTTGGTATCATTTAGGATGTAGTAATTTGATTACCATTTTGTTCACCCAATATTATTCAATTAAGCCAAACTATGGCATTTATAAGACTAAACTGTTATTTCTTGGTTAATAATAGTAGATATCAAGTTGTCTTCAATATGTTATAATATTATGAAACTTATAAGAGCTTTGTACCACTTATTCCTATAAATGACCATTCATGACACTTTATGTTCAATCAGCAGAAAATTTTACAAACAGTCATGTCATAAAGTACCTCTGGCCAAGAACTAGTTCTGCAAATTAAATTTTTTAAATTGTTAAAGAGAGGTAAGCAATCAATGTTTCTAGCACTATTGCAAAATAAACTATTCATAATTTCCAGTGAAAATATGATTTGATAAAATGTACTAGCCCAGAATATCGTCTTATGTAAAGGAACACTTTCACGTGTAGACATCAGTTTTCCTGTATGCTTAGCTTCCTTTTCCCATTCTTCTGGTAAAAGCAACCAAATTCTCATTGTGGAGAACCATACTGCTTGTTCTATGGTTCTGATACCGCTGTCAATCACAGGGAAGCTCCCCCTGGGCACATGTCCATTGATGATAGATTTGAGGATAGACCACTCTCCATAGCAGTCACTGGTTGGCACAAGCAAAGGCATGTATTCTAAGCCAATCTAATGTATGAATGTTGTTGCTGTTCAGTTGCTAACCCAGGACTGCAGCATGCCAGGCTTCCCTGTCCTTCACTATTTTTTGGAGCTGGCTCAAATTCAAGTCCATTGAGTCAGTGATGCTATCTGACCATCTTATCCATTGTCATCCCCTTTTCCTTTTGTCTTCAATCTTTCCATCAGGGTCTTTTCCAACAAGTCAGCTCTTCACATCAGGTGGCCCAAGGATTGGAGCTTCAGCTTTAGCATCAGTCCTTCCAATGAATATTCATGTTTGAATTCCTTTAGGATTGACTGATTTGATCACCTTGTGGTCCCAGGGACTGAGTCTTCTCCAGCACCACAATTCAAATGTATCAATTCTTTGGCACTCAGCATTCTTTATGGGCCATCTCTCACATCTGTACACGACTACTGGAAAAACCATGGCTCTGACTATATGCCCTTTGTCAAAAAAATGATGTCTCTGCTTTTTAATACAGTATCTAGCTTGAATACCAGGCAATAAAATTTTCTTTTTACCTTGTGGATTCAACCAAGATCTAGACTTAAGACTGCCAATATTATTCCTACACATGTGGAAAAACTGCTTGAGAAAGAAACCAATACATATAGAAGCAAATGGACATATGCATAGAGAATGAAGGAAAAAAAGAGAGAGTGCCTTGAAGGTGTAATGAAACCAATACCCTAGGCCAGATCCGCCTTTCCTAGTTACATGACCCCAGACATTCCATTTATAATAAACCTAGTTTGAGATTGATTTATATCATCAGCTATCAAAAAAGTTGGGGGTACATAAATTTTAACTTAACTTAAAAGTCACTATTACCTCACTGTTCAGTGTTTGCCTATCAGAAATCCATTTCCATAAGAGGCTGTGAAATAAGAGTTCCAGAAACGTTTGGTTAAACACTTTGATATTTTCCATTCATATTAGCAACTAAAGGTTTTTAGAATAAATTCTGTGAGAAAATGTCAAGTTGGCTTACCTCAGATTTTCCAACAAT